CCTTTTAGATTAGTGACGTCCAGAAGTGGTAACTGTATCGGTCGCCTTTCTTCGCTTTTTTTTTTCCTTTTGCGAAAAGTTCCAGAATGACACGACTTGATAACTTTTAGTTTGTTTTACAAAAATCAACTTGTCATCGTTAGGAGTCAAAATTCGAGTTATATTAATATTGAGACGAAATGGCTCGCTCTATCAAACTTTACAAGTTACAGGAAGATAATTTTCTTGAGAAATCTTTGTGCGTGTTGTGCAGATGGAATTGGTAAGAAATCATACCAATTAAGGAGAATCAGTTTGTCTAATGCAAAAGAATAGAAACTTTTTTGTGCTGGTAAATTTCAATGAGTATTGATAAGTATTAATAAGCCGTTGGTGACAAAAAAAAATTGACTAGTCATTCTCTTCCAGGAAACTCGTTGGTAGTTTTCCAACACTTTTATGATTTTACAAACCTTTTTTTTAATACATTGAAAATTATACAATTTTTATAATAACTTATCAACTTTTATTTGCATAACTTGCTAACACTGTGAATTTGCCAACTCTTATGTGAAAATAATAATTCTTTGTTGAGAATACCAACCTAAATTACCGGGACTTACCAATTTTTGTTCCACTGAATAGCACATGTTATCGGGTTACAAATTCTTTATTTAAGCTACTAAGCGACATTTATTTGTGTTTTTTTTCCAACTTTTCTTGTCAATTACAATATGTTATTTGCATATTTTAGTAACGCCTAAAATGTATTAATATTTTTTTAAAGAAATTACCAACATTAATTAGACTTATCAGCTTTTCTCCAACTTAGCACCAACTAATTTAGGGTTACCTTCTCCTTTAAGTTACTTACCAAATTTATATTTCTTTTAATTACTAATTCTTTTTATCTCTACCAACTTTGATTTATATTTCTTAACTACGCCTCAAATTTATCAACCATTATACAAAAATAGTAACTTCAATTTAAGTGATGGATCAACCTTTCTTCAATAAAGTTATCAATTAATTATGCGTAACTCTTAGTTGAGTTAGTTACCGCCGTTTATTTCGTTTATTTTTTTTACCAAATTTTTTATTGGGTTAATTACTAAGGCGGTAAAAACGTTTGTAAGTTACTCAAAAAAAAGGTTGGTATCTTTCGCATAGTAATTAGTTTATTTAAGGCATCGGTAAGAAAGGTAAATAAAATTGGGTAAAGATAAGAGAAGTTTTCTTTTTTTTGTCAGAGGTAAAAGAAGTTGGTCATTCAAAAAAAAAAATCAAACGAACATTGGTAACCAACTCAAATAAGAGTTAGTAACGCAAAATTCATTGGTAAATTAAGCGTGAAATAGTGTTTGGTAAGCAGGACAAATAAATAGGGTAACTCAATGGAAAGATTAATTAAATGAAAGATAATCATATGAATGCCGGTAAGCAACTCAAACGGGAGTAGGCTATGATTTTTAGTTGTGACTTAGACTTGTTTAAAGAGCTCTGGCCAGTTTCTCGTTTCCATAGCAGTTGGGCATTTCCAACTGGGGTGTCTGAGCTAGTCTTTCGCTTACTAACAAGCTCTATCTAGCTTATACCAAACCGTGTTCTAAGGGGGTAGCTTATCGAACCCTTTTCACTACCAAAAGTTGAATGAATCAACAATTGTTGGCTTAAACACTTCAGCCGTAGTTTTTAGAGGTGAGCGGTTCAGGTTCCTTACAGATTCCATCTGGAACTTGGAACCTACCCTCGGATACAGGTTCCTCAGTTTTTGGAACCTGGAACTTACCCATCGGAACTTGGAACTTGAAACCTACCCTATCGCAGGTTCCAAGGTCTGACATGTTCTTTTTTTTATATTTCATTTTTAGTTAAAGAAAACCAAAATAAACGCAATAATACTGAACAAGCTTGTCATTCACCAAAGAGAATACAAAATGCTAATTTTCCTGGCATTACGGTTCAAATAAATACAATTAAAATGATAAGTCATTGCGCGAATCGATATTAGGGGTAAGCAGTTCCATATTCCGTACAGGTTCTACCTGAAACCTACCCATGATAATAGGTTCCTCATTTTTCGGAACATGGAACCTACCCTATCACAAGTTCTAGGGTCTATTCAGGTTCTACTTATATTATTAATTGAACAATTACAGTAAATCATCACCTTTAATAAAAACCTGCAGTGAACCTATCCACTTACTGTTATAATTCACTGACCACAACTTATATTTAGACATACGAAAAATACGAAACATTAACAAGTCATAAAATGAAAGTTCAAACTAGTGGTTCCAGATTATACACTCATCACCTACGCCATGAAACACCGTAGGATCACGCGAAGAGATAGACCAAGAAAAAACACAAAAAACTTGTTTAGGTTTCAGATTTCAGGTTTTACCTAGCTAGAGCCCGGAACCTACCCGTTGAAACAGGTTCTCCAATTTTTTGAATCTGGAACCTACCCGTTGAAACATGTTTTCTAATTTTTTGAACCTGGAACCTACCCTGCATACCTTGGAACTTGAAACCTGTAGGTTTCCACCAGCCAGGTTCTCAGGTTCCAGATTCTACTCTGGAACCATGCTCATCCCTAATAGTTTTAAACATGACATACCATGTAAGCTATACTCCATTTCTTGCCTCTATGCTCATATCCACATATGCCAACATTAGCCCTGTGGACTAGCCAAACTCATTTTCTCCACTTCCCACCCCACATTATCCTCACTAGGGGGATTAGGTACATCTTCTGTAGCAACTTGTATGTTGTCACATACATTACTCTCAAGCACATTCTTACTCCAAAGATTCATATTCTAAAGTAAAAGCACATACCGATTATCGGGTCCTCGCTCTTGTCCCGCTGGACGTGCCAAAATGTGTTTCAACCGAAGTTCGCCAAATGGATGCCAAACCAAACTCCTCGATGAAGGCCAAACTTGAGATTGACAAATATGAAAAAGCACGTTGTCCTTGTATTATTGATCAAACGATTTACAGCTTAGAAAGGAAGGCATGCTAAGTTTATGGGCGCTCAAAGGTAAAGGTCGGCACCACGAGCTTTAAAACAAACTCACAGGAGCGAGAGATTGGCAAAATAAAATATGTAAACTCTTGTGATTTGGTTGAGAGAGCGTGTGTACTTGCGGTCTTAATCTTGCTTTTTTACTTTTTGTTTCGTGCCTGCCACGCCACGAGTGATTTCTACGTGCCTTTTTGAATTTTCAATCAAGTTTGGCCCCGTTCCTTCTGCCAAAATATTCGTACTTGGCATTGAACTGTTTCTGTGACTGTCGTGGAGATTTGGCACGTTCTTTTATTATACCGTATTTGATATTTTAGAATCGTTCCGCAGCTAACTGATAAAATTATAAAAAAAAAGTCTTAAATATATTACATTTGTGAAATTTTTTAATTTGCCAAATTAATTTTAAATCTTTTGACGATATGTCAATGTAGTCCTTCCAATCAATTTTGATTGGAAATTGATGATGCGGACGCTAGTAGTGCCACGTTGGATGACCGGTACTGACGAAAATTATTTTTTTAAAATTTTTTAATTTAAAAAAAATTGATTTTATTATTTTATTATTTTTTTCTTTTCCTTATTTTTTCCTACCAAGTCTAATGAGGATCGTCGGTCACAGGTGAGGGCCACCTGACCCTCGTCGACCATAGACGAGGGCTAGCAAGGGCTTCGCAGCCCTCGCCAGGCTTGGAAGAAAAAAAAGGAAAAGAAAGAAAGAAGAAAAAAAATTGAGTTAATATTATGAAAAACCCCAAACCGGTACACTTGTGATAAATTTATCCCAGACTAATTTTTTGACCACCAAAAACCCCAAACTGGTACACTTGTGACAAATTTATCCCAAACTAATTTTTTGACCATAAAAAACTCTAAAGTGGTACACCTGTGACAAATTTTGCCCTCCGTTATTTTTCGTTAAATTATATTGTTAAATTGTTAAGATAAATGACACGTGATAGTTGATAAATGTATCACTTTTGGGATTTTACGCTCTATTTGTCGCAAGTGTACTAATTTGTGATTTTTTTTGTATTAATTCAAAATTTGTCACAAATGTACAAGTTTAAGGTTTTTTGGGATCAAAAAATTAGTTTGGGGCATATTTATCATAGGTGTACCAGTTTGGAGTTTTTGATGGTAAAAAAATTAGTTTAGGGTAAATTTGTCATGGATGTAACAGTTTGGGGTTTTTCATGGTATCAATCCAAAAAATTATAAAAACTATCTACTTCAGCGATGGTCGTACCGCGTAGGATGATTAGTATCCACGTTAGTGATTTCCGATTAAAATTGGCCGAGTGGACTTAATTGATAAACCGTGAAAATGTTTAGTACTCAATTAGCAAAATTGAAAAGTTTAAGACCAAATTATTATAAGTGCAATAAATTTAAAACTTTTTTTTGGTAATTTCCTCTAACTAACTCCAGTTTACTCGAGTTGGCATTGTAAGTCTCTGGTACCATTAGATAGTTAATTCTGTTGATTTGACTGTTGATATTCATATCCGATTCCCTCAGGCTCCCATCATCGCGATTTCGTGTCATCTACCTACTTCCCCAAAATATCTTGAGATTTTTCATGAACATTCTCTCATCTTGAATTGTCGTCTTTTTCAGATCTAGCATCGCTCGTTGCCGATCCTCATTTTCGCTCGTTGATGCCGGAGGTCTTTCTTGTGCTAGCCATGCCATATTTTGGCGTCAAGAATGAGAAATGGAAAATTGGTTATGAATTCTAGGAGCAACAACAAAATCCACTGTGAAATTCCACAATTGTCGCGATAAATTTCTAATAACCGATCAGGCATATGGAGTGGGGTGACAATTATCTGGGTTTTCAACATAACGTTTCTTCGTAGCTTTGACTCTAAAAAATCTAGTATGACTCAACCTTTTTCCTAGCTTTGACCGTAATTATTATATCTTAGAATTGATTCAAATGCTTCTTACTCAGAGAGAGAGATAGAGAGAGAGAGAGAGAGAGATTCAAACTTTCACAACCCACTTTGTTCAATAGAAATAATATCCACTCTTCATCATTCAAGGTGAGAGGGCCATATGTGCTCTTATCATATATATAAATATATATAACCTTTCTCTTCCTTACAAATTCATAGTTTATCAAACAAACATATGCCCGCGTCGCATTCGGCGCCTGAAGTCAAGAAACCGCTCAACTTGGTTGCTTCGCATTCTCGGGCACTCTCGAGCAACATCAGAGCCATGTCCGAGCTATCATGATGATCAAAGCTTGCGGTTAAACCATCGCCCTCATACCTCTCCTCTTGACTCAACTGAGAAGCAACGAACTTGTCAAGGGCCCTCCAATCGGTCACTCTCTTATTGGAATCATCATCATTATGTTCCTCTAAGGGCTCGTTATTGTTGCTGTTGTGGTTGTTGTTATTGATTTCAGACATTAGCGAAACCGAGCTCATCGGCCTCTTCATCAAGGGAAGAGATGGGCTCTCTAGCTGAGGAAGCTGTAGGAAGTAGTTTTCGTCCGGGTTGAAGAGCTTCAGGTTCTCCGCCGCTTCTATCTCTTGCTTGCATGCAAAGCTCGAACTGGGCATGTAGCTGAGGACTGGCCTCGAGATGCACTCGGCCGGGTCGATGACCGAGCTCGTGCCGCTTTGCTCGTCGTAGAAGTAGCTCGTGTCCCAGCCTTCGAGGGAACTCTTGGTCAGCCCGTTGGTCCGTTTCTTGAACGCTCGACAAACCACCCATCCTTCTTCCTGAGAAAGAATTCTCCAATGTATCAGATAAGGAAATTCACTACACAAGAAACTTGTGCATCATACTAAATAACCATTTGCCTTATTGGGAAAGAGACATTACCAGAGTGCACGATATTTGCGAAGAGGAAAGTATAGATGTGGACCAAATTAAAAGCAAATGAAGAATTTGTACAGCAGAAAGAAGAGAAGTGCAAGAATGCGAGATGTTTTTTAATAAATACAATGAAATACACAAAAGACATCTAAGAGACTCATAAAGTTGCAAGTTGTTTTCCGTCTAATAATTTATCCATCCCAATGGTAAAAAGTGCAATCAATTTGCGCATTGTGTGTTGACAAAGACTTGGACAAAACACCGAGATGTCTAGGTGAGCTCGCGAGCAAAATCCGCAAATCATGCCTAACATATAAAAGGTGAAAAAAGGACCAAGAAAACCGAGCTTCTTCCTTTCTCCCGCTGTCCCTTTTATAGCATCATATACTCCTTGATATATACACTTTAGTGAGCTTCCTTTTTGATTGATAAAGTGAAGGAGGAGATAGTCAATGACGAGAGAGAGAGAGAGAGAGAGAGTCTACCAAGAGGGGAAACGGAATATTTCTTTTTCGACAAACACATTGAGTGCAAAGTGCATACCGGGAAAGGGAATCGAACAAAGTCGTGCATGCATTTTGCTTTTAACACAGCACCTTTTGACTTTGTTATGGTGGAGGCCGATTTACACCAAATAACTTGAACAGATTGAAGTTATCTACTGGTCTACTCTATGAAATAAATGTGTTAAGTGAAACACGGATTTAATGCATCAATTTAGTAAATCAGTCTTATATAGTATATCAAGCTTTGTTCCATTTTCTTACAGGAAAAAAAAGAGAGCATCATTTGGAGCTTGGAAACAGAAGCAGGTTTCTTGTGAGAGGCTATCATCTTATAGGGGAGAAAGAGAGAGTTATTTTCTCGACCCATGCTAGGTCAAAGGCACTGTTTAAAAGCTCATGCCGGAGACAATGATGACTATTCTCCCTTATCCACTCGAATTCGCATGCTCAAAGGAACTATGCTGTATGTGTTCATGAGAAAGAAGAGAGAAAAAGCATGTGCGGAACAATGCGGCAATTTATTGGCGTGATATCATCGTTTTAGAATGATGTCATTCGTCAGTATCTCCGACAGAGATTAAGAATGCAAACCCTTTTATTGATGGTATAATGTCAAACTAGCATTCCCTCTCTCGGGGCATAGAAGTCACTGTGGAGAGAGAGAGAGAGAGAGAAGCAGAGGTATACAGTACTTGCCTGAGGTGGTCCATTCTCATCAGATTCGAGCCGATACTCATGCATGATCCAGTCGGTCTTCTGACCATTCGGAGCCCTTCCTCGGTAGAAAACCAGGGTCTTCCTCATGCCGATCAACTTGGCCTTATCGTAAACGGCCTTGTCTCTCCCGGTTGCTTTCCAAAACCCAGCAATGGTGGCTCTGTTGGTCCTCGTTCCTGTTGGGTACTTCTTGTCTTTATGGCTAAAGAAGTACCACTCATTTTGCTCCTCATACCCAATCCTGCATCTCTCTGACCATCCATAACCCCCAAGAAATGAGTTAAAAGAAGTCTAATGGGAAAAAAAATATGCAAAGTAGGGTTACGAGTCAAGAGGTTAAGTATGTGTGGTTTTATTGGTGATCACAGTTAGATCTAGCCATTCTGCGGCTAGGTTTTATTGAAGAACCTTCTTCTTTTGTATTCAAATAAGGCACCCACAATCAACATCACCTATAGATACACACTTATGCGTTCGAGGGTTCTTGAGTTGGATCGGTCTCGATTTAAAGAAGCCACATACTCACATAGATAAGGATCTACCTCAAGAAGAAGCTGACTGATCTTTGTACTCACCAGATCATGAACTTGCTAGATTTAGATAATCTATATATACTAGGAAAGAATTAAGATGCTACTACCTTGGAGATCCCATGGTTCGATTCTGTACAGATCAATGTCTCTAATAACGTCGAGGTCGATCTTCTGAGAGGCGACTTTCTTCCTCAGATAGTAGCCGACAAGCTCCTCATCGGTCGGATGGAACCGAAACCCCGGCGGTACACTTGACTCCATCGACTCCATGGCAACTTAAATTATTTTTCTAACACACTGCATCAAATCCACCACCATGACATAAAACACTTATTATCCTTTTGCGACTCTTAAATCATGATCAATTTGATCAAACTTGAAGAGAGGAGGAGAGAAACAGATTAAAAAAACTAGACAAGAGAGTTTGAACTTAGAAGGAGAAGAAAATAGGAGAAACAATTAAAAAGAAATGATGGGCCCTTTTAGAGAAAGGTGGCAATTGCTATAGAAATGTGTATAGAATCATAGCTCATTTGGTGGTGAGCAATGTTCACCCATTTGTTACCACACAGCAAGAGAAATGATAAGAGCCTAGCTATTAGCAGGTTGTTGAAAAATAGAACCACACCCATCATTTTTTATTCACAATGATATGTGTCCTAGCTAGGGATAAAAAGAAAAAAGGTGTGAAAAAAGGTAGAGAGAGTATGCAATCATGATTCATAAGAGTGTGGTTTTTCTGATGAAAACTAAGAGGCTAAGACAAGGTTATGGTCACTTGGTATGTGTTTTGTGCAGGTGTTACAAGCTAGTGGTTTGTGCTAATGATGTTGTCTTGTGTTGGTAAATGGTGGGAATGATTCATCAAGAACGGAGTCTCTACTAAAATAATACAAACAATTAAAATCAACGGCAATGAAATGAATGCATCTAGAAACTTTAATGAACATCAAACATATTAATAAGCATTCCAGAAGGCTAGCTAACAAAACAAATAATTACTTTTTCTGGAAGAAGTTTTCCTATTATATCAATATACAGTAAAAGGAGGAGATAACCTAAGCTCCCCCATAAAAATGTTTTATTAAGCTTCGAACGGGACGAGAGAGGAAGACGAGGATGACGTCATTACTGGTTAGCACGCGCTGTTCCTTGTGAAAGCAAAAAGGTAGTTAAGGGATGAGAGAGAGAGAGAGACAGAGACAGAGAGAGAGAGAGAGGACACCATTCTTGAATTTCGAAAGGATGAGAGAGAGAGGGAGAGAGAGAGAGAGAGAGAGAGAGAGAGAGAGAGAGAGAGAGAGAGAGAGAGAGAGCATAAAAGGGGCTTTCTGAAAGAAAATCATGTAAAGAGCTTCCGAGGGTTCTGTCTGTTTGTCGATAATTTGGCTTGCACAACATCTGACCTATCTCTATCTCTGTGTTTACATTGCAAGAGAGCGAAAGTCTAGGGGGTGAATGATTCGTCAGAAACAACGCATCACGACTGAATTCTTTCTGATACTCGTCTGTCACTGGCCAGCAGAGAAAGAGAGAGAAGGGTGTAGATACTCGAGTTGTGTACAGTATAACTAATGTGGTTCATCGGGAGGGGAGAGAGAGAGAGAGAGAGAGAGAGAGAGAGAGAGAGAGAGAGAGAGAGAGAGAGAGAGAGAGAGCTATTACCCCGCATCTTTTCATGACAAAACTTGCCATTCTGAGGTAATCTAACTTTCTGGGTGTGAGCTTTCTACGGTTAAATGTTCATGCAGATCAGACCAACAGCCTTGTGCTGATGAATGACAGAGAGAGAGAGAGAGAAGAAGAAGAAGAGAATAAAGAAGAAATCAAACAGCACCAATCCTAAAAAACTGGAAGCTGTATCAGAAGCGTAGCTGAGACTGAGGAAGTCAGAAAACCCTAATCCACACGAGGAAGAATTCAGCCGCGAGTAAACGAGTTGAAGCCAGGATGAATTCGGTTGAAGAACTGGACAAACTCAGACTCAACAACAACCATAAACAAAAGAAGACGAGGAGACAAGACCAAACTAATCCCATAAGAATCAAACCCATCCCTCACCTTGGACAAACTTCAATAAAACAAGAAGAGATCAGCTTGCAGGGTCGGTGCAACAATTACTGGTTGGAGACAGAAGCTCTTAAAGAAGAAGAAGACAAAGGAGGGTGACACAGAGAGAGAGAGAGAGAGAGAGAGAGAGAGAGAGAGAGAGAGAGACAGAGAGATGGAAGAGGAAGGAGAGTGGATGGAGAGAATATAAAAAGAGGAAGGAAGAGAGGACCGCTCGATTGCGCATGGGGGGTATTATGGTTGGCTGTCCCCCCCTCCAGCTGCTCACGTCATCCCTCCTCAACCTTCTTGTCCTGCCCTATGCAAACTCTCTCTTCCTCCAAAAGCTTCGGGTCCCTTCTCTCCCTTTTGCTGCTGTTTCTTTGGCTCGTCAAAGATATTTTGGTCGTTCATTCCTAGTTTAACGACAGTGGGACAAAACTTCCTAGTTTTCATCCCCTTTGGATTCAATTATTCTTGGATGGGAAACTTACAAAACGACCCCGGTCCAATGCACATTTTTTTTTTTTCAAAAGACTCTCCGGAACGAGACTCTTCTCGACTTATCTCGGGTATGTACCATGTCATGTTTCGGCTGATCCCCCTTTATCTCATTGCCAATGCTAAAACACCCTAAGGGGTGAAACTTGAGTAAAAAGATTGGGAGAGAGAAAGAGAGCAGTTAGGGGTTTCAACTTAAGAATTCGCATCGAAGGATCTTCTTGTAGGAAATCTCGTTCAAGCGAAAAAGCAAATAATTTGATGTAGGTTTGGTACAATATTAATCTTCTCATAAAATAGTATGAAAGCATTGCGGGTGATTAAATATGCCAATCTTTCAAACCTTGCATATATCTGGTGGCTTTATTAGATCAATGAAAATTATAAGGAGATTTTTTCCAATTATTTAATTCGAAATCTTTTAATCTTCATAAGGAAGTCAATAAAGAACTTTTCCTTCAAAAATAAAAGCAGATAAGACCCTAATTAGCCCCGATCCATGTCCTCCTCTAATTTTTCACCCAAACCAGAATATAGATATGAATTATTTTTCAATTAATTAAATTTGTATATAGTAATGATCTTATAATCTGTAACCCGTCAATAAAAAAAATACGGTTATAATAAATTTTTCTCAACAAGGGAAGGAAGAAAGAAAATAGGCTCGCCTTGCCCGCGCTCCTCCAATTTATCATCTAACAATCGCGAGATGCCCGAGATATTAACGCCGAATCACTTGCCACTCTGGCACGACACGAAACCCCTCCCGTGCCACGTGTCGCCGCCAAAGGAACCGCCCGACCAAAGCGCGTGAGCGGCTCAGAGCCCACGTGGCCAACGGCCCATCCCACCTGGCGGCTTCCCCCTCTCCAGTTCTCTAGTCAATTTTACCACGTTGCCCCTCAACGACGTCGGACTAGATTATGCGGACCATCTATGTTTTCGTTTCCTAATGAAAATGCATGATTCCTCATTCAAATGTTCAGAAGAGGAGAATTCAAATAGGTGATAATTTAGGATATATGTATTTGTGAATCACTTCACCGCTTCGCGAACTCTCAATTTTCATGTAAAAGCTTGTCGCGACCGAACTCCCGAGCCCTTTTTTAAACGACATGCAAAGAGAAGGGGGGCTCGCCTGGTACGTGCTAAGTCTAGGTTCGGGACTTAACTCGGGCTCTCCCAAGCCCATACCATATCGCGACTTAGGGTTTAAGTGTTTAACATGCAAGTGGTTTATATCAAGGAGTCGCCACTAATCGATTTGGGGTGGGTCGATTAGAAACCCAAATAGGGTGATGGGAGAATCACCCTATTCCTACGAACCAGAGATTAAATGAGTTCGGGGACTTGGTTACACTAGTTGGATAACTAATGCCCTTTCGGTACCTTTTTACCCTGTTCATTTATGAAAACATTTGTCAGGCAATTTGGATTGATTTTAGGACCTTTCTCCTAATATGTGAGGTGATCAAGCGAGTGCATAATCAGGAACGATCAGCAGTCAGGAACACAGCAATTCATGCAGCCTAAGGTTCTAACCCTAACTAAGTCAGATGACATTCAAAAACACAACATTCATGCAATTGTATTAAAAACATGCATAACAATACAACGGTAATAAAAACTAACATGCAAATACTACCGCGCAACCTCAGGCTTGTCTAATTTAAATAAGACAAAAATTTACAAAATAATATCACATTAGATTAAAACAACAACAATATATCACATAAAATAAAATTTTTTTTTTTTAAAAAAAAATAAATAAATAAAATAAAAAAAATAAAATAAAATACGAAATATTTTTTAAATAAAAAAAACAAATAAAAAAGAAGAAAGAAAAAGAAAGAAAAGAAAAAAAAATTTGAAAATTTTTGAAAATTTTTTTTAAAAAGCAGTAAAATAAAATAAAATAAAAATAAATAAAAAAAAAGGGATCCGGACCGGGTCGGAACCGACCCGGGTCAACGGATCCGACCCGGTCGTTGACCTGGGTCGGATCGGCTGGACCGGGTCGGCTGGACCGACCCGGGTCAACGGATCCGACCCGGTCGTTGACCCGGGTCGGATCGGCTGGACCGGGTCGGCTGGACCGACCCGGGTCGGATCGGCTGGACCGGGTCGGCTGGACCGACCCGGGTCAACGGATCCGACCCGGTCGTTGACCCCGGTCGGATCGGCTGAACCGGGTCGTCTGGACCGACCCGGGTCAACGGATCCGACCCGGTCGTTGACCGGGTCGGATCGGTGAACCGGCTGGACCGACCCGAGTCAACAGATCCGACCCGGGGCGTTGACCGGGTCGGGTCAACTGAACCGGGTCAGGCCGAACCGGTGGGAGCAGCCCCCGTCGAAGCCAAAAACGGCCTCTCACCGGCCGACACGCACGGCGCCGCCCCCAAATCGGCCTCCCGGGAGTAAAACCAAGCCTCTCCACCCACCGGGTCACCGTCCGACCGCTGTTCACGGCCGGCGACCAAAACAAAAACCGGTTTCATTGAGGACTTTTGTCGAACGGATGGTGTGCGCTTCCAAAAACAACAAATCCCGAATTCCGGCGAACCGGAGGATTCAGCGAATCAACCTACCTTCGGTGAGGACACACGGACGGCGGGGGATGACGGTATGGGCCGGGATTCGCGCGAAACGGCCGGCGCGAGTCCCGGCCATACCGAGCAGAAAAACAGAGCAAAACAGAGGCGGTTCGGGCCGGACTGAGAGCTCACCGTCGACGGCGCGTCTGGGGCTTTCCGGTTGATCGGGGGGCGACGGCGACGCGGCGGGAACTCCGCAAAACCGACTTTCCCTTCTTTCTCTCTCAATTTTCTCTCTTTCTCTCTCAATTTTTCTCTCTCTCGTTTCTCTCTCAATTTTGCCGACCGGGGCTCTCTCTCTCCCTTTGGCTATTTATAGCCGGACGACGGTGCCCCTCTCGCTCCGTTACGTCCAGTAATGACGACGTGCCGTGCACCGGCCTACTGCGGCGCGCGACTTTCGCGGCCATTTAGGCCGGTGCAGAGGCGGGATCGCCGGTGAGGCGCAGAGCGAGACGAACAGGGAGCTGAGAGGGAGGAGGAGATAAGGGAAGCCGGGACAACGGGGAGGACGGGACTGGCAATTAATGCCAGTCCCGTCGGCGTGCTCTCTCGGCCTTCCTCTGGCCAGATAGCGACGGCGAGGAGCGGCGCCGCCGTGCGTCGGCGTGACGTCGCGAACAGGGGAGAACAGGGGCGAGAGAGCGACCGGCGAGGGGGAAGAAGAAGAAAGGGCTGGGCCGGGCCAGGCCCAGACGTGCGGGGGGGAAGAAAAAGAAAGAAAAAAAGAATGGGCCGGGGCCCAGGCGGGGGGAAGAAAAGGAAAAAGAAAAGGGCCGGGTCGGCCCAGCCCCGACCCGGCCCGAAATATTTTTTTTTTTTTTATAAAATTTTTGTTTAAAATTTAAGAAAATATGCTCTAATAGGCCCTATTAATGCACATATGCCTAATGTCTATATGCAATGCATTTAAATAGAAATATTTTTTTGTTTTAGGAATTAAAGAAAATTAATTCCTAAATTTTGTGTAATTAATTTTGGGCAAATTAAAAATAGGTGTCAACAGCTGCCCCTCTTTGAAGGTGAGCTCGCAGAGATTGAGCTCGCAGAGGTTACGTTCAAAGATAAAATGGCACCTAAATTTGGCCCATGCATGTTCAATGAATGTTATTTTTGGCGAGACCGGAGTCCCATTTTTTATGATGCGATAAGATGATGCGTGCTAAAGCAAATAAAAACATACCTGGGGCTACTTACCTTGCCGAAGGGTAGAGTAATTCCAGATGGTTGATATTGTGTGTCGAGGACCCGAACCTATCTTCGGTCGCCTTGACGGAAAAATGGTTTGTCTAGGACCCGAACCTTTCTTCGGTCGCCTTGACGGGGATTGTTTTTGTCTAGGACCCGAACCTTTCTTCGGTCGCCTTGACTGGGGAAATCGTCTGTCTAGGACCCGAACCTTTCTTCGGTCGCCTTGACTGACTGGATTTTGTTTGGTCTGTCTAGGACCCGAACCTTTCTTCGGTCGCCTTGACTGACTGGATTTTGTTTGTCAAAGTACCTGGGGGTCGTCGCCCGAGGGTTTGATGGTTTGCCTGGTGGGTCCTCGCCAGCAGGTCTTGAAAAGGCTCAAACGATGAGCACCTGGGGGTCCTCGCCCGAGGATTTGTTGTGAACATGGGGGTCAGTCCCATGCTCAGAGGGTGAACAACGGGGTCAATCCGATGTTCAGAGGGTGAACAACGGGGTCAATCCGATGTTCAATTGGTGAACAACGGGGTCACTCCGATGTTCAGAGGGTGAACAACGGGGTCAATCCGATGTTCAGAGGGTGAACAACGGGGTCAATCCGATGTTCAGAGGGTGAACAACGGGGTCAATCCGATGTTCAATTGGTGAACAACGGGGTCACTCCGATGTTCAGAGGGTGAACAACGGGGTCAATCCGATGTTCAGAGGGTACCGTAACAATCGTAGGTACATAGATTTTTGGAATCGGGCATGGGTAGAATATACTTACCTGGGCACGTTCCTGCCTCTTAAGGGCGTGTCTCCTGTCAGACAAATTTTTTGTGCAAAGACATACGTATTCATCGGAGAAATAGACAACTGAGGCTA